TTTGTCATACATTTTATATCTAAATATGATCTAAACTAACGAGTTAAAAAAAAAATTCACCCCCCCTCACAGTTGTCAGGCACGCGGAACATATTGAAGATTACAATAAAAGTCCATGGGACCAAACTGTAAACTTCCGCGCAAGTTGAAAAATTTGAACTCGGGCGGAAGATTCAAACGTCTAACTAGACCCGATAGACGCGTATTTGACGCTCCATTCGCGTTCAATGTTAACTCACCATTATACGTTTTGTCAATACGATAATCTTCACAACTGAACACCATGTTTATAATAGGGCTGTGTAACGATTAATCACGATTAATCGCATCCAAAATAAAAGTTTGTGTTTACAAAATATATGTGTCTAGTGTGTATAATTAATTATTTTGTATATATAAATACACACATATGCATGTATATATTCAAGAAAAATATATCATTAATAGTTTATATGTTATCAAATATTTATATTTATGTATAATATAAATTTTGTATAAATATATATAAAGTAAAGTACATGCAAATATTTCTTAAATACATGCATGTACGTGTATTTATATATACAAAATAATTATACACGCTACACACACATATAATATGTAAACACAAACTTTTATTTTGGATGTGATTAATCGCTATTAATCGTTACACAGCCCTAGTTTATAATTATTTCAGTTTCAGTTATTTAAATTCGGCAGAAGTCAAAGCTAAACGTGGGCTGTAGATTACCTGCAACACTGACTTCCGACTACATACAAGTCTGTATGTAAAAAAACTAAAACATTTTCCCTAAACGTTAGTTCGAATAGTTTGCTAGAGCGTGATTATAGCGAGTAGATGAGTTTACCTGTCAGGCTGATGACGTTTAACATCCCCGAGAAGCCAGCCCGTTCTCATCCTTTAGCGTCACATAGAACGCTATATGACAAAACGGCGCTGTACTACGCACATGGCACCCTTTATCGTTAATATTCACGCGAACCCAAGGCGTCATAAATCCTTTAGTGTAATATGAGACTACCCTACCCTACCCCACACCTAAACCTAACCATCACAGCGCGTGTTATATTAACGATAACGGGTGCCATGTGCGTAGTATAGCGCCGTTTTGTCATATAGCGTTCTATATGACGCTGAAGGATGAGAATGCGTTGGACAAGCTCTGTTGTTTTCAGTTAGCCACTTTTACCAGACTGGTAAAAGGTTTATTAATATCACGAGGGGGTTTTTACTGGTGTATTTCATGCTTTAGAATAAAATGTGAAAATATATTGAGCTTGTGTTTACCACAGACCTTATTTCAGGTATTTAAAGGGTTAGTTCACCCAAAAATGAAAATTAAGTCATTAATTACTCACGCCCATGCTGTACCAACACTGTAAGACCTTCGTTCATCTTCGGAACTCAAATGAAGATATTTTTTATTAAATTTGAGGGCTTGATCACTGCTACATGGGCTCCTAAGGGAATGAAACTTGATGGCCCAGAAAGTGAATGAAGAAAATGTTTTTCCATGTGACTACAGTGGCTTAAGAGAGATTTCCACGACGCATGTGCGAGAATTGCGCAAGAAGTAGTAGAATAGTGGTGCGTTCTATTATAGCCAACGAACCGACTCGGACCTCGGATTTGATTTTGACGAATTAAAATGCAAGCATGGTTAATCCGATACATGTTGTTTCAACAAGCAAGTTTTTTGTATCAAAAACATTTGCCATTCATTTTCTTCCATACTTTGTGTTTCCTGCAAGTGTCTAGGCTTTTCTTTGTTGTCAGTGTGAAAGTCTTTCTTACACTTTCTGCCAGTTAAAATGCAACATTAATAACATGGATGAGCATAATACACGAGTGTCTGTGTGATTGGGTGCTCTTGCAGGTGTATCATCTGCACGGATGAGGGGCGATGGCCAGTCCCCGCTCTATCTGCGGGCTCCCATGAAAGCTCTCGGGCCCGTGGGCTCTATGACTGGGGTGCGACAGCATGCCAAAGGGCCTCCGGGGGCCCAGGGAGGGATGAGGAGGGTTCAGTCCCCGGGTCCCAGCAATGGAGCGGCATATTCAGGCTCCAGGAGCGCTGCTGTAACCAGACAAACACCCGGAAGAGGCATGACCCCAACGTCCCCGTCTTCCAGAGGCAGACTTCCACAGACACCCAGAAGGTAACTCACAATCGGCTAAATACACCGTAGTTATTTCCAACGTTATTTGGAGTTGAGGTTATTTTGCTTATTTCCCGCTATAGCAGATCCCTGGGAATGACCAAACCCTGTGCTCCCTTCACTGATGAATCCTGGAAAGATGGTTGTTACTGAACTCCACCTGTCGTCCTCACAGTGAAACCCAACGCGGCACCACTGCCTAAAAACCCATCAGAGAGGCCCTCAAACAAGAGTGTGAACCAATCCAGAGTCTCAATGATAAGAGGAACGGTGGATCTGACAGAGACTGTAACATTAATTGTAATTTTTGCTTGTTTTTTTGTTTTGTTTTTTAAAACATCAATGTGCTTTTAATTTCATGAGAATGGGGAGGTTTGAAAAACTGAGTTAACTTGAATAATGAAGAAGGTTTGTGTCTTGTAATACATGTAGTTTTTTTGGTGAAACAACGTGTGGAATTGAATTCCTAGATGCTGTGGAATAACCTGATGTTGATTTTGCATGTTAAGTCTATTTTTTAGAAATGAAGGATATATGTTTTCTCTGTGGGGGGAAAAACAGTGTGAAAATGTTTAATGTTATGAAGGAATAGTTCTCTGTAAAGCAAGAAATTTGTATGTTTTGTGTCGACAAGACATAACAGAGCAATTATAGAGGTCAAAAATGTATCTTGTAGGTGAAGAAAATTGACATTTTTAAAATTTTTATTGAGATCACATCAATGTGCCAAGGTACATTAATTACTACTGCAACACTGTTTCTTAATTCAGAGACACTTTCACTCCATCTGGAGGGGATAATCTGAATTTTGATGTTTTAATATGCACTAAGCCAGCTAAATTGGAGATATCTGGGTATGCAATGACAATGGAGTGCCTCAGAAAATCAATAAATCAGTTTCAGCAATAGAACTAAATGAGGAGCAATTGTATTCATTCTAAAACACTAACACATTACAAACTTATGTTTTAATGTTATCCAAACCAACCAAAATACATTTACAGTGTATGCGTCGTGTTGTTTGAGCGTGTAGAGGAGCACAAGTGTGAAAGCAGGGGCCTGTTTCAGAAAGGAGGTTAAGTGAAAACTCTGAGTATGTTAACCCTGAAATGAGGGAAACTCTGGGTTTTCCGTTTCAGAAAGGGGGGTATATCAAACCCGAGAAAGCAGAGTAAGTCAAGCCCGTTTCTGAAAGAGAGGTAACTTATACTCAGAGTCAGTTACCATGGTAACTTACTCTGTGAACCTAACCTGGTCGGGAGCAGGTTTTCTTCAGTAAACCCAGAGTTTCTTGTGGTCTCCTCCCCTTTTTTAAAGAGGAAGTGCTGTTTAAACACCAACAATAATACTAAAATGTATTTACACATTCTTTAAGGAATATATATATTGTTTGTCCATGGTTTAATTGACTAAATCTGTTTTGCAGCACTTTGCCAAAAAATAAAAGGATTAAAACATTTGCTAAACTTTTATTTGATTACCACTGTTTTGGATAATATATTTCTATTAAATCATTGACAATTTTTTAATAAAATTTAATAAGTTATTAATGATAAAAAATAAGATGTCAATCATAATCATAATCAATTATTGAAGTTAGTTGATATTATGTTGTATTGAACAAATGTTTAATGTATTTAACTGTCATTTTAACTGATGAAAATAATAACCGTAATTTAATAATGCAGTTTATATATTTTTATCAATTGTTTAATACCATAAACCGTGATATTTTCTGAGACGGTTCTCATACTGTGAAACTCTCATACGTTACAACCCCACATGGGGGAGTCCCCCACCCCACCCCCGCTGTTAAACAAGTTACTCAGCAACTTTTACTCATGTTTTAAATTAACTACTTTTTACTTGAGTAGATTTTTTAGACTGGTATTTTTACTTTTACTTAAGTAAAAATGTATCAAAGTAATAGTAGACTACTTTAGGTTGAATAACATTCTTCCAGTTTCACCTCTGATATTATAACAGTTACTCTAAAATAGTTATGAATTATTAACAACAAATGACATCTTCAACGGTGTAGTTAGATTAATGTAATAATTACTATCTCTAGAAAGTATTGGTCTACATATTACTAAATCCTATATCAACCTCAACCACTTGATTAATACAAGGAGGAGAGACAAAAAAACTGCACTTTTAATGCTTTCAAATTAACAATACAATTGCATGAATTATTCTTGAATTGATCAAAGTGTGTAGAGGGAGAAGGTTATATAAAAATATACCTTTTAAAAATGTATGTAGTAAATCCACTATTGTTTTATACTGAATTGGTCTATAGTTTATGCAGTAGCCTATTTAATGTAATTGCATCATATTTTATTTTAAATTAAAGAAGAATTAAGAGTGATCCCTTTAATTAAATTACAATATTTAGATTACTTGGTAATTAATTATACCCAACACCTCTTTTTGTCTGGCGCTGTTGCCATGGTGACTCATAATATCTGCGCTCCATTAATAATGGCTTTTTATAACTGTGGTGCACGCGCTTAACTCAGAGTCAGTCAACTCAGAGTTGATTGAACTAACTCATTTCAGCTGTTCTGTAACCGAAAACTCAGAGTTTCCCATCTCAGGGTAAGTCAACTCAGAGTTCAAGCTTTAACTCAGAGTTGGTTGAACCTCCTTATTGAAACGGGCCCCAGATCTTTAATTCATTACACCATAACGCCACTTGCACCGTAACTTATTTAGGTAGATAGCGCAATGTTGTCGTATGAGGTGACGTAAAGCATGCCGCGCGTTCGCTCTGCCCCACCCGTTGCTGTTGTCAACGAACATTCTGATTGGCCGAGGCTTAGAAACGAGAAATCTGATTGGCGGAGGCGACGAATCGAGGAGCGTGATTGGCTCAGGCCTCAGGCCTGGGAAAGAGCGTTCGAGGATCCTCAAATGTACAGGCCGCAGTAGTGCTACCGTTGGAAAATTAACTATAATAAAATACGACAATTTCGAGGGGATCGGAAACTCATCAACGCTCTGAAGGCAGTCACGGAGTAGGTAAAGTGTTCTGGATTTGTGCAGCGTGTGTATGAAACGGTGGCCGTCGGCCCAGTCGGCCTGCGCGGGCCTGGTGTTGTGTTCAAGCGCGAGGAAGCGCCCAGCGCGCGCTCCTGCTAGCCGGACCCTACGCAAAACTAACGAAAATAAAACTAGCGTCTGGCTTTTGACGCATTTATCAGTCATATACGAAGTAAATACAGAAATTGCGTCTGGGTTGCGTGTTTTTGTGATTCCCTCGGTTGTGTTGTATTCAAATACATGTTGACATATTCGTTAGCTAATGCTATTAGCCGTTTAGCATGTGGTGTAATGGCGGAGGGCAAGATGGCGCAGTAACGCGGCTGCATTTGCGCAATCTGTCAACTACGTAAAGAACCGAATTCTCCTGGAATATTACAGTGAATTTCGAAACGTTGTATTTTGTAAAGGATTTTAACAGCACCGACTCCTTGCAACAATCCAAACTTTGTTTCGATTGACCTGTCACATGGACCAGTACGCCCAATTACTAAGCCTACTATGGAGAAGGTCTCTCATCTCACGAGTATATCAGAGTCATGTGGTAACGGCACTGGTTGTTGCAGACACGTGACGGAATTAATATTAATGAGTCCACCTTTTTCGTAGTATGGTCAGATTACGCCATCATAACATAGACTGGAAAAAAAAAATAACAATCACTGTCATTACTGAAACTTTTTTCAGACATCAGGCAATCATTTAAAAATAAAAGCGTTATACTTCTGATACTCTTTTTAGTGACCGTAAACATATAACGTTAGTTAGTAATGTTACTCAATTTCTCCTCACAAAAGAGATATGACGTCATGTTGGAAACCTCCTTAAAGAATTGCTATGCTTATTAAGTTGTAATTACTAATAAAGTCTAATTTAATATTTACCGGTTATGATTAATTTATTATAATCAACCACTTTCTTGATATCACCTTAAATGTTGTGTTTTATATATATATATATATATATATATATATATAAAATGTTAAGAAATTACTTTCTGAATGATAAACACAGTTTATATGTTTATAAATTATTTTATTTAGCTACTGTGCTTGAATTCTTTGTTCTATGTTTTAGGATATTTTGTTAGCTCCACGTTTTATATTTGGAAATATAAAAAATTATAAAAGCTCTACAAATTATAAACAAATTGTTGTAATTGTAAATGTTGTATACATTTAATTTCATTGTCTCTTCTGTTTCTTTCAGACATTATCCAACCCAGATGCCAGATTCACAGTTTTTCTTAATATTTGTGACACTTTTATGTGAAGGGAACTACTGTCAAATGTGAAGGTTTGTTAAATGGCAGTTTTCACTCACAGTGTCATTTGCTTTGGATTCGAAAAGAAAACCTTTTTTTGAAAAATTATTCATATGAATTTAGTGTGCTGGATTGAATTTTCTGTCATTTTGTGTTGGGCTGCCCCCTAATATTAGACGAGAAGCGGCTTTGTCAACCAGAATTTCGTTAGTCAGTTAGTCGTAGAAAAAAAACTGTGTGTGAGGGACAGAACCTTAACGGGTCTTGTTGTCTAACTTTCATCAATCGACCTCAAATATGGCTCACCATTTAAAAAACACTGAAGTAGCAAAAGGTGCGTCCACTATAGGCTACTTCAGATGACGAGTCGGCATCATCAACTTCATCTTTGCAGCCGACACTGACTCGGAAAACACTAGTTTATTAATAAATAATTAAAATGTCTCCTTGCTATTTTTTGACACATTCAATATCATTTCTTTTGCTGGTGCTTTGCGGCAAGCTTTAGTGTATATATTTAAGTCATTTAAATTAATATAAACCTACAATTAGTCGACTAATGGCTTAAATGAATGGCTAGAAAAAATTTTAGTCAGGGGGTGGCCATAATTTCATGTAATAATTTATATTTAAATATCACATTCCTCATAGAGCAGTCCTTTTTTTGTAATGTTTTCAGTATTGTGGAAAAATCCCAGATTATGGATCACGGCGGAGGGATCCTGGAGCTTCACAAGGATTTGAAAATGCCCCATACAATGATCATGCCAGATTTTGGTAAGGAACCGTAATTAAAATAATGAGTCAATTAATTGACTGATGTTTGGCCTATTTTAGGTTATGACATTGACGGATCATTTTATAGAGTTCTTACTATAATCAAAGTCTTACAAACTTATGTGTTTTTTTGTTTTGTTTTTTGTATTTCGCTGGATGTGAATAAATTCTGAGTGTTTACACCCTTTATTTTTTTAGGAGAGTATATTTACTCATATACTTATATTTAAGATATTTATTTATTAGTCTTTTTTCATTTATATTTAATGATATAATGTTTTTTGGTGTCTTTACACAATTTATCTTTGCAATACATAATTGCAATAATGTTTTGTTGTCTTAAGTGTAGTATTTGTTTTGTCTTGTTTATGCTGCTGTAATGTCAAAATTTCCCCTTATAAATAGTTTTTTCTTTTTCTTTTTTTTTAATCTTTACTATATTAAATTGTTATTAACAATAACCTCACAGGAATCATTCTCATGCCTTTCCAAACCCATAAGACTTTGCATTTGGGGTGTGATGACAAACAAAAACAACCGAACAATATTTCTGAACCACCTCATTAAATGCTCTGTCAGTTTTGTACACTTGTGTTGTGCTATTCTCTGGTGCAGTTGCAGGGATGGGTGGCATGGCCCACATCGACGGCGATCACATAGTGGTGTCGGTGCCGGAGGCCGTGATGATCTCGGATGAGGGCATCATGCTGGAGGCCGACCTCGAAGCTGAAGTGGTGGAAGGGCCTGACATCTGTCACGAGGACGTCATCACCAGCGAGGGAGTGATCCTCTCCGAGTCTATCCTGGGGGCCGAGGTGGCCATCCAAGAGGCTCTGGAGACGGAGCCTGATCAGGTGTTCGTGGCGGACCTCATGTCACCTCACGATCAGAGTCCGCTGGATCACGACCTGGTGTCTGCAGAGGTCATGGTGTCCGACTCCGAGACCGTCATACAGTCACACGACGCCATGCCGTCTGATGTCGCTATTAAAGTGGACGATGAGGAGGATGTGAAGAGCACTTCAGAGGACTACCTCATGATTTCCTGTGAGTTTGCTTTTATGCCAGCTTGGATGGGGCAATAAATCGGGGAATCGAGAAATTATTATTATAAAAATTTTCCGAATGCATCGCGATTCGTTTTTAACCTCAGATGTCATTAGAAACAGCCGTACTCTGCTGGCTTCGGACGCCTTACACACACCACTTGAACCTTCGATAAAATAATCATTTATAAAGTTCGAAAAGGTTGAAGCGAATACAGGGGTGTTTGCAGTGGGCTGTTTACATTAATCTCGCGTCATCAGCCGAACGCACACGTGCTCTTCTTCTCGAGCGTTTGAGAGTGTGGTTAAAAACTAGCCTAGAGCGCCATCTGCTGTTATAAACTAAGCTCAGAATCGATTCGAGAGAGAATGGCGATGCATCGATTTTATTGTCGGAGGATTGACCGCTATGTCTGATATCTGGCTTCTTTGCAGTGGATGAGGTTGGGGAAAAGCTAGACATTGGAGACGCCTCTTTAAAGATCAGTGCAGATGTGGGCCAAGACGACGACGGCTCGAAAGAGGACGAGTTCAGCTCTGAGGTCATCAAAGTTTACATCTTTAAGGCCGATGGAGATGAAGATGTGGAAATTGGTAAGGAACACATTTCAGATGTTTACCACAAGCTGATTGCTACTACTCATTCTCTCACTGTTACTGAGAGGCGTTGCCATATGGCAACAATTCATTTCGACTAATTTTCTACATCATACCTTGTTATTCAGAAAAAATACAATATATTTCACTATGGGAATTAAAAGGGCAGGCCTTAAACGGTTAATTCTCCCAAAAATGAAAATCATGATTCACTCACCCTCAAGCCGTAGACAAGATTGTATTAATCTGAAAGAAGAATGTCACATACACAAACAATCATTGGGTGCACTATCCCTTTAAGGTAGCCAATGATGAGTTGTTTGAAGTCACATGACATTTGAATGTTTCCTCCAAAACACTCTTTCCCACTGTTACATGGAAGACACCTGTTGAAATGCTTCAGAAATTGCTCTATTAACCTAATTTCTAAACATTTTGATGCATCTTTGATAAGTAAATTAGATATTTTTATTCACAAATGAACTTTGTCTTAGATAGTTTTACTGCAAATTGAGAAAATATCAATGTTTCCATATGGCAACGCTGTACCACAGTGGAATTGCAGTAATGTATTTTCCCATTGGGATTTTTATTGATAGTAGTATCAACAATATGATTGCATTTATTAATTTATTTTTTTATGTATAAATAAAAAGTAGATTTCTTCTTTTTAGAAAATTAATACAACAATATTTTACGGAAAGGGCAATAGGAAGAGTGCAGAGTTCGCTTTTCCATGAGATGAGAGTGAGGATGAGTTCGAAGTTTGTTTGTTATCGTGGCTTTGAACGATTACGTGATCGTGGCAGCCATAATCACGATTAGAAGTTTGATGAATTGTGCAGCCCTGGTGTAGAGTAACCTCTTATTCTACGTTCACACCGGACGTGAATCACGCGTCTAGTTTGACGCTTGATCACTTTGTGTTAAAGGGCACCTATTATGCCCCTTTTTACTAGATGTAATATTGGTCTCTGGTGTCCCTAGAATGTATTTGTGAAGTTTCAGCTCAAAATACCCCACAGTTAATTTATTATAACCATTTGAAAATGTCATTTTGGGGCCTGCTTAAAAATGAGCTGTTTTGGAGGTATACGGCTTTAAATGCAAATGAGCTGCATATCCCCGCCCTGCCTTTGAATGAGGGCGTAACTTGATACCTATGGCAGTCGGTAAGCAGAAGGGCTGAGAGAGAGTGAAAGACGCGCTGTTTTGTCTGTCATTCAGCGTACGTTTGAATCAGAATATATAAATAGTACGAAGAGACTCCGGCAGAATAAACACAAATGAGAATGGACCAGTACGTCTCGGTATGGTTATTTGATACATTTATGTACTTTAGCGTTGCAATCGCGTTCCCTTTGAAATGACGGGCATGTGCAACACACACACACAGACACATAAACACTAATGCTGGCGCAATTTTTTTGAAATTACATACACATACTGTGATAAAGTTTGCTACGTACAAGCGAAATTACATTTTTGCGAGGGACGGGGACCTGTGGCGTCATGTTTACTTGTCATACGGGTGCTTCTGTGGCAAATGTGAGGAGATGGCTAACTTACAGAACAACAACATATATGCAGTTTTTAATACAATATCTTTAAATATATATAAACGTGTGGTTACACACTATACAAACAAGGTTTAAATTATATAGCCTACACAGACATCCTACAACGACAACAACTATAGACGCATTTGTTGTTGAATTGGCTGACATTGACTGAAAAGACTATTTGCTCAAAAATCATAAAACACACTTACTGTTACTGGATGTGACGGTGGATCGCAAACAGTAGATGACGATCCACAGTTGAGGATTAACTTTTATGCCACAACAACAGGATTAACCCACGAGTCCACGACAGAACACTTATGTTTCCAAGAGACATAACAGGTAATGGAGGATAATGTGTACAGATCACCGAGGGCGGGGTCTAGGCCACAGCCACACTGTCAATCAAACCCGTCTCCCGTTCTACGTCACAAAGAGCTGAATCTCAGAACAGCTCGTTCTGAGGCAGTGCATATGATTTATTGAGATTGTAAAAAAAACACTGGGTGGATTTTTATCATTCTAGGGTGGTTTTGCTCACACACTGCCAACACACATTTATGTTCAAACACCATGTAAAAGTGAATTTTCCATAATAGGTGCCCTTTAATTCGCGTGTCAAGAGTGAAACTGACGCGCGTAAAAACAAAAGTTTGAAGCGAAATTTACTCACGTGACGCGTCAGAATCGAAATCCGTTGGCGGCCATTGTTTTTATGTCGACTGAGCATTCATCGAGAGAGTCACCGCTCTGTATTTACTCTGGGATCATCGTCGCCGTATATTTGTGTCCACCGGACCCTTCTGAGGTGAACCGTTTGGCTAGTTTCACCATTTGCTCGCTCCAGGAGCTGCGCTGGATGACGGACGCTGTCAGCGGTACTTCCGCCTGTCCCGCGCCCAGTTTGATGACCTGTTGTCCCGCATCAGAGCGAGGATCACCCTCGCCCTCATCCATCTAATCTAGCTGTCATTTATTTTTGTTTTGATGATAAATAGAGCCAGCTTCCAAAAAGTTATTAACCTGTCCTGTGATTTTTTTTTTTTTTTTCTCACGTCCAGACACGAACTTATGCACATATGTTGATTGTCTTTACATCATAATACTATTTTATATAATCTAGATATGGAATGAATAACTTTCAATACAAAATGAACATGTCTCGTATATAGAAATAATGTTTTAAATGATAAAATATTTGCTTTGTTGTGCATAATCCAACCATGCATTTAGTCATATTACTAAATAATTTATTGAAGCATCCAGACACAAGCAGCTGGGCTCCTGATTGGTTAACGCGGCGTGAATTCACGCCAAAGTTCAGATTTTTCAACTCGGGCGGCAGACACGAAATGCGTCACAAATGGCACTAACTAAATCATTCGCGCTTAACGCGCCAGACGCTCAATTCGCGCCATCCGGTCTTCCGCGCCGCGCTCCATGCCTCATTCGCGCCACAGGCGCATAGCGCGTCTTTGCATTGACTTAACATGGAAATCATTCGCGCCTGACGCGCTATTCGCGTCCGGTGTGAACGCACCATTATGAGTAAATATCAAGGACATTTTGGTTCTCCATTCATGCCCTGTAAGATGAATATGTTTGTGTGGTGTTGTAGGCAGCACAGAGGTGGTAGCAGAAAGTGATTTCCCCAATGGGCACGCGGTGCTGGAGCCAGTGGTCTCAGGCCGGCTGCCCAGAGAGAAGATGGTCTACATGGCTGTGAAGGACGCCTGCCATGGAGACGAGGACATCAGTGAGTTATGCCTCTTTTTAAGAAGAGTTAAGGTCCTCGCACACTGAGCCCGAAATCCTCACGTTAAAAAATAAAGATGGCCTCGCATTGTGTCAATCGCTGCCTTAGAAACTTTCGTCCGTCATAAAAAAATTAGGATTGGGTTCAAGTTTCTGCATTTTTCCCATCCATAGCAAGTGTTTGTAGTGGTGTTTTGACTATTCACATCCACCGAATGACGAATAAGAAAAAATGAATACGGAAATTTCTATGTCAAACAAATGTGCTTACGTTATACCCTGTCCTGTAGACTGTTCGGAGATGACTGACCAGGTGTATATGGAGGTCATTGTTGGGGAGGAAGAGGCTGCTGGGATAACAGAAGCACAACTGGAGGACACACCAGTTAACAAGAGCTTTGTTCCTGCGGCCTGGGCAACTGCTTATGGTCCTTCACTTTTTTGTTGCAGGCAGAGATACAAATTGCTTTGAATTAATAGTCCACCCAAAAATGAAAATCCTGTCTGAATTTGGAGCAGCACTACCATTCTACCCTAGTATTGGCCTGTAAATATGAATATTAGGGCTGTCAGTTTAACGCGTTATTAACGGAGTTAACGCAAACCCATTTTAACGGCGTTATTTTTTTATCGCGCGATTAACGTCTTTTTTCCTAGCAAACTTTGTAGTTTTTTCACATACTTTTGCAACAGGACGCGGCATGCGTCCTGATCCATTTCGGCGTCTCTCGCTCGTCATCCACTCAAAGCCGGCTCGCAAGCCGAAACGTGTGTGTGCGGCGTGCCTGTTGTTTTGTTTCCGTTCTAGCTAGATCCGCTTGTGCTTTGGTCGAAAAGCAATAAAACGTCCTCGCGCGGCGCAAGCCATATTGAATGGGTTTCAGAGCGCAGCACGAGGACGTTTTGTGCCGCACACACTCGTTTCGGCTTGCGAGCCGGCCAAATGTTACGTTTTGAGTGGATGACGAGCGCGAGACGCCGAAATGGATGCTGTTAGAAGATTCTGAATGGAAAGTTTACTTTTAAAAAGTTGCCAAATTGTCTCATTGACAAGACCAAAGTGAACTTTGTATTTTGTCGTTGTGAACCGAGCTATCGTCATCGCAGCACGTCCAGTCTGAAACACCGCTTGATGATGGCCAAGCAAACACACACACACACACAGATGATGCGAATTCTCCACCCCCTCGTCAATATCAGGACCGTCAGTATTTCTTTCACCCTTTTATTGATGGACAGTGTTACATTGTGTGAGAGATTATTTATGTTAGTGTGAAATTGAACACTATTCCAATGTTATTTTCAATAATAATAATAAAAAACATTTGCACTAAACAAGCCAATCCACTTTTCCATGTTGATAAGAACATTAAAATGAGAAAAAATAATGTAACAAAAAGAAAACAAAAGATAATTTAGAATAGATAAAAACGTGCGATTAATCGAGAGTTAATTATGACATTAATGCGATTAATCACGATTAAATATTTTAATCGTTTGACAGCACTAATGAATATATGAAGAGTTCAGATGCAAAAGCCTCTAAGTGCCATTTGAAATTTTCTTCCAGAATGATAATTTTTATCAAGCTTGTATATTTAAGTTCAGTGATTTCACTTAAATGGCAATGATAATTACCTATTAATTGTTATTTAAGTGAAATTACTGAACTTAAATATACAAGTTTGATAAAAATCATCATTAAAGAAGAAAATTTCAAATGGCATTTAGAGGCTTTTGCATCTGAACTCTTCATATATTTAAGTCTTCTGAAGCCGTACGATAGCTCAGGGTCTCCAGAACATTTGTCAGCCGAATCCCTGTCTTTGTGATTATTTGCACTGAGCCATATAGCCATTTCAGTTTTATTCCGATAAACAGTGCATCCATATTTATTTAATTTTTTGATTTGATTAATTATTGGCTTTTAAGCATTGTAAAACCCTGCGAAAACCGATGACAGAATTTTCATTTTTGGTTAGCTCTTGCTGTCTTAAAACTTAACATTTATAAAAAAAACATTCTCCTTTCCTTTTAGTGCATTTATAGGGTGTAAATGTCCGATACAAACACCTTACCAGTCATGGCTTTCCTACAGGAAGCAGCCTAGAAAGTAAGAACGACACAGGCACTCCCTACCTGCAGATCTCTGACAGCATCAGCTCAAGCCGAGCTCTTAAGCAGAAGATCAAGAAGAAGAGGAGGGGAGAGACTCGCCAGTGCCAGACAGGTATGATCTTCTGCTAGTGCCAGAAACGGTTTTCAAAGGCTCACGAAACACCAAAAGACATTTTTTCATTTTCAAAACACATCAATGTGCCCTCAACTCACACTGTTTTTCCCTCTCCGCTCAAATTTTAATATTCATTTGTCTGTATAATGAGTCTGTTTGTGTTGTACAGGTCTGTGTTTTATTGGTTGTTGTCTCCCATCTTCCCTTTTTTTGCCATTTTTAATGTTTTTGTTTGAAGCCAGTGGTTATAAAAATGCTAATATTTAAGCGCAATTTTTTTTTTATTGCTCTTAAATGATCAAATACACACAGAATTATGTCAAAATGGCCATCTTGGCAAGGATTCTAGTAAACACAATTGGTTTTGTCTTAAAGGGTTAGTTGAAAATGATGTCATTAATGACTCACCCTCATGTTGTCCCAAGGCAGACCTCCGTTCATCTTCAGAACAGTTTAAAATATTTTAGATTTAGTCCGAGAGCTTACTGTCCTTGTCCAGAAAGGAAATAAAGACATCATCAAAGTAGTCCATGTGACATCAGTGGGTTATTACAATGTTTTGAAGCATCGAAAATTCATTTTGGTCCTAAAATAACAAAAACTACGACTTTATTCAGCATTGTATTGTCTTCCGGTTCTGTTGTGGATCCGCATTCACGAGTCCGCAGTGAAGCTGCTGATGTAAGACGTGTTTCTGGTGCGTCTGTATATTGGGGTTCAAATAAATATGGCTGGACAATAAATGAAAGTCTTCCTCTGTGTGGAAATCCTTAAACATGTTTGTGAAGATTATTTTTGTGCAGCGTGAGTCTCCCTCAGACTGTAACCGAAGCTCAGCCGCAACAGAACCGGAAGACAATACAATGCTGAATAAAGTCTTAGTTTTTGTTATTTTAGGACCAAAATGAATTTTCGATGCTTCAAAACATTGTAATAACCCAGTGATGTCACATGGACTACTTTGATGTCTTTTTTTCCTTTCTGGACAAGGACAGCATACCGTACATACATTTGTAATGGAGGGACAGAAAGCTCTCGGACTAAATCTGAAATATAGTGTTGCGAAGAGGAACGTGTACAGTTGAGCGAAAACCGGATGTTTGTCAGTATATTAGATCTGTGCATTCGGTCTGAAAGTAACGGCAGCCTAATAAACCTGCTGTTCTCTCTGTCATTAATAATAATAAAACAACAAACGACAAACAGAAAATCACTCTCTGATCTTGACTGAAGAACCTTTGTAGCTTTAATAAGAATCAGTGTTTTGAATTCACACAGCAATGACTAGCGTTTTATTTTTTGTTTTACATTTTGATCATTCAATTCTGTAATGTTTTTTCAGGTAGGTCTATTTAACAGTAAATCACACTGTTTCATTTGTATTTTTGTTCTGTTGTATTTACTTGTCCTTTGTTCTTGTCTTCAATAAGCGTGAGAACCTTTTACTTAGGCTAGTATTAGTATTTGATGTGATGCTGAACTTTTCTAATGGAAAATGTTGGCATTGTAACAACCGTATTTTCACAAATATATTGTGATATTATTATCGACTAGAAACTGAAGTGTTCATCTAACACAGAAACCAAAAAATGCAGTAAAATTTTATGTTTTCGTTTCAAACATATCATAATAAATGTCCAAATGTGATGTTCTGTTATATGTAGTGGACCCATTTTTAGTAAAAAGTAACTAATTCCGGTTAACCTTTATGTAATAAAGCAATGATACCAAATAATGATAGATTGAACAATAAGCATCACCATTGGGGCAGTGGGATGTTCTCGAGGGTGAACTTGACCTCTATATCCTTTAAAAAAGGAAGTTGGTGTCAGTAGCCATGTTTCCATCCACTTGTCAATCGAATTATCTGAAATTCGGTTAAAAAACTCATGCGGATAAAGCTGGTGAAAGTGTGTTTCCATCCAACGGCTTTAAAGCGAATAAAAACCTGTACGTAATGACGTCACATGCTGTTTTGCGATCAAATTGCTATATCGAATTGATTTGAGACATTTTAAGGTGTTTCCATTTATTTTCGCACTGAATCGAACAACATTCAAGCAAACTTTTGCGAACAAAGTTTTGTTAGACAAAACGGATCGCGCCATCTACCAAAAAATGATCAATATTTCACAAGTTGAAGGCTAATAATGCTTATGTGCCAGCTGATTGCGACATATGAATGGGATAATGTATGCGAGGCGGTTGTTGGTTGTATTCGCTATAACAACCGCTCATATATTATCCTGCTTATTAGCCTACATATAAATCAACCAAATAAATCAATAATTTGACACAAAATATTGACTTAAAAACGAGTTTATTGATTTAAAAACGAGTATTGCTTCTGCTAAAGAAAATACTAGTCTGTTCCGTCTCTGAACTGCGTCCATGGCAACGGTGTGTTATACTAGCAGCGCCGCAGTCTGTTAACTAGAAATAACAAACCACATTATACATTACAATTCAACCAAGCCACGTAAAAACAAGCAAAACTAACCTAAGAAAACAACGACGCTATAAACATTGCTATGATGTTGACGATGCACGTATGCCCGACGACAGCGGAGGTGACTGTGGTTTGGGAACGACAGCGCTCCATCAGTTCTGGGAGATCGTGGTTCACGGAAACCCTTTGGTTGAAGCATCTTTTTGCTTTGTCCACTTACATCTGTCTTTGTTGACATCCGCCATGTGTGCGCAAACAGACTGGCCGGAAATGAACTCGTCTTCTGACGTGTTGCAACCATAAAAGGGCATAAAACTTAATCGCAATTCATTATTTATTCGGCAAATAACGTTTCCATCAGCTTTTATCGCATTAGCCGTATATCGATCAAGAGAAAATCCGATGAGACCGAACGCATTTCATTTGAGTCGATTTTCATGAAATTTCATCGAATTTTACTGTTTCCATAAGGCATTTTTCATTCGATATCACTTAATTCGGATAAAAACGTGTCGATGGAAACATGGCTAGTGTTTCAAAAGTGTTTGTCTCGCCACTAAAGAAGTCAAATGTCGCCAATTTTCAGCATGTGCTCCTCTGTTTTAGCTGTAATCATTGGTCCCGATGGGCAGCCCCTGACCGTCTACCCCTGCCACATCTGCGGCAAGAAGTTCAAATCACGGGGTTTCCTCAAACGCCACATGAAGAATCACCCGGACCACATGTTCAAGAAGAAGTACCAGTGCACCGACTGCGACTTCACCACCAACAAGAAGGTGAGTTTCCACAACCATCTGGAGAGCCACAAGCTCATCATTAAGAACGAGAAGATCCCCGAGTACACGGAGTACACGCGGCGCTACCACGAGGCCAGCCCGCTCAGCTCCAACAAGCTCATCCTGCGTGACAAGGAGCCCAAGCTGCACAAGTGCAAGTACTGCGAGTACGAGACGGCCGAACAGGGACTCCTGAACCGCCACCTGCTGGCTGTGCACAGCAAAAACTTTGCACACGTCTGCGTGGAGTGCGCCAAAGGCTTCCGCCACCCTTCTGAGCTCAAGAAGCACATGCGGACCCACACGGGGGAGAAGCCCTACCACTGCCAGCACTGCGACTTCCGCTGTGCCGACCAGTCCAACTTGAAGACTCACATAAAGAGCAAACACGGGACTGAGCTGCCCTTCAAGTGCGGCCACTGCCCGCAGGCGTTCGCGGACGACAAGGAGCTCCAGAGGCACACCGAGATTTTCCAGGGTCACAAGACTCACCAGTGTCCGCACTGCGAACACAAAAGCACCAATTCCAGCGACTTGAAGCGTCACGTCATCTCGGTGCACACCAAAGACTTTCCACACAAGTGCGACGTGTGCGAGAAGGGCTTTCACAGACCCTCCGAACTGAAAAAACACGCCGAGACGCACAAGGGGAATAAAGTACACCAGTGCCGGCACTGCGATTTTAAGACTTCGGACCCCTTCACGCTAAGCCGCCACATTCTGTCCGTTCACACCAAGGACTTGCCGTTTAAATGCAAGCGGTGCAAGCGCGGCTTTAGGCATCAGAACGAACTTAAAAAGCACATGAAGACTCACAGCGGTCGCAAGGTCTATCAATGCCAATACTGCGAGTACAATACTACGGACGCTTCGGGTTTCAAACGGCACGTCATATCCATCCACACTAAAGAGTATCCGCACAGGTGTGACTATTGCAAGAAGGGTTTCAGGCGGCCGTCGGAAAAGAACCAACATATAATGCGACATCATAAAGAAACCCTACTATGACGCTCTTTCATCCCCGAAAACAAGATCCGACGCCCCACAGCCGCATATGTCGACCTTCTTATTTAATGTTCCGCTCGTAGGTAAAGAAACAATCAAAACGGAGACGTGTAACAGTGGTCTCTCGCAGGCCAAAAAGTCGAGCAAACAGTCATTCAGGGTCTCAAATGCCTATATTTTTATATCCACTTTGCCGCAAGCAAATCACATCCTCTAATAAAGGGATGGATCACCCAAAAATGAAAAATCCCTCATGTTGTTCCAAACATTTATTGTAGTGTCATTCAAGGTTCGAAAAGGATGACAAATCCCCAACGGAGACTTTGTGGCACGTTTTGTCTTTGTGTGTAAAAAGCGGCCCAATGATGTTGTGTTTCAATGGGACAAAATGACATGGGTTTGGAATAACATGAAGGGCGTTTTCTTTTATGGGTGATCCATTCCTGGTCCAGGCCTTAGTCAGGATGAACGCCATATTGAATTTTACGCAGATGAAAACACGGCCAGACTTAAAGTCTTTACAATGACGTTCACTGTATAAAGATCCTAAAACTAGCAACTTTCACGAAGTTTTATGTCTGCCCCACAGCCTTTATTTAAAAAAAAACTAAAAGGAAATATGGCGCTACCCTGACTACGGTCTCACTTTCATTAGGTGTATTTTACTGACTGGTATGTCCAGGTTTTACTGTACCTTTTACCATTTTGTAGCCGTTATGATGTTAATTTGAGCAATTTCTTTTGTGGTATCTGAAATCGTACGATTTAAGCCAGTGCGTCTTTCCATTTGCTCTGTGCGATCCTAGTGTCTTGAGCGCTCCTTCACGAATCAAACTTTCCAAGTACCACTACAAAATTCAATGTTTATGTAAAACGAAACGTTACCAACATGGCGGACATGCACATACTGCCAATTATTTCGGATCTCCTGCGTCATGCCTTACATGTATTTTGTTTTGCACTGAATTCAGTATGAATCGAGTTGTGAATATTTTTTAACACGTTTCAGTCGTGCTATGATAGATGTATACATTAACAAATGCAAATCACATTAAGAGCACCTTTTCCTTCTTAAAAGTCACTTCTGCGTTATTTATTTTTTAGTGGGTGGGCAAACATAGACACATCATCCTAAACCAGAAGCCATCCAACTCGCCGCCAGTAAAAGACCTCAGCGATCATGTCTCGATAACTAGCTCTAATAATTGGCGTAGCTATGGACTTGTAATATGACTAGTTAACATCAGCATCCAGCAACTGTAGTACTTCACGGCGTACCGTACATGGTGGATTTCATTCATGGGTGGAGGTCGGAGAAAGGCCTGTACTTGCTAATCATGTTTTTATTGTCAGACTTGCTAATGTAACTCCAGTGTTGTCATGTAAAAGCCTCCATTCATAAGGACAAAAGGTGTTTTTAAGATAAATTAGTTAAAGTGGATGATTGAAAACGATTAGTTATGTTTCTTGAAATTACAAACCGCCACTTCTAAAGGTTCGTCGTCTGCACAGAAAGAAATATCACTAAAGTTTCAGCATAATACATGTTGTAAATCGTGCTTTTGTGATGGACATCTTCATTGACAATTAAATTGGTTGTTTTATGTTAGGGGCAGTGAAACAGAATTTTTTTTTTTTTAATTGAAGTAATTCGTTATCATTTGATCCTTGGGACCTTATTTATGTGCTCAATTACATGATGTCTTCAGACTCTCAGGTAGAGTTGTCAAAAGTACCGACTTCGGTACTGAAATTAAAAATAATGTGGACACCAGCGTTTTGAGCACTGTTGAACTTAAAGGAGTAGTTCACTTTACTGATAATTTACTCACCCTCATGTCATCCAAGATGTCCATGTCACTCATTCTTCAGTCGAAAAGAAATTAAGGTTTTTGATAAACATTCCAGGATTTTCTCTATATAATGGACTTCAATGGGAACCAAACGGTCCAAGTTCCAAAAGACAGTTTTAGTGCAAATTGTTCAATGGGCTTTAAACGATTTCAGACGATGAATAAGGGTGATCAGAATGAACGAATCTTTTCCAGAGTCAACTTCGTTTGTTGAATGAACCAAACACGAAAAAAAAGAGAAAAAAAGAGTTCGAACAGGAGAGTCACGAACGCGCATCACAAGACAGAGCAAGGCGACCATTTGAGCTAAAACTTAAACTTTATTTATTTTTTATTTTTTTTTAATTAAGCGATTGTTTCGCTTGATAAGACCCTTATTCATCGTCTGGAATTGATTAAAGCCCTTTGTACAGTTTGTACTGAAACTGTCTTTTGGACCTTGAACTGTTTGGTTACCAGTAAAGTCCATTATATGGAGAAAATCCTGGAATTTTTTTCATCAAAAACCTTAATTTCTTTTCGACTGAAGAAAGAAAGACACGGACATCTTGGATGACATGGGGGGTGAGTAAATTATCAGCAAAAGTTTTTTTAAAAGTGAACTACTGCTTTAAACACCTGATTGGCTATCGTGTTCACGCGCTGAACATTGGCTACAATGATCAATGCTTCCAAAAAATATTGTAAATAGAAATCTTTGACGCTTTAGCCAATTAGAGACTAATGTATGTTCAGCGTGTGAACACAACGGCCAATCAGAGGTGTTTACGAATCCGTTCAACAGCGCTCAAAATGCCAAATGGTCAAATTTTTTTAAATGTCAGTATCGAAGTCTGTACTTTGACAACTCTACTCTCAGGCTGTCATTCATGAATCACAAGGAGAACTCTGCTTGTGTGTGTGTGTGTGTGTGTGTATATAGTTTGTATAACCATTCTTGCGTAAATTGATGCACTGATTAGATCGTTTTATGAGCGATTCACAAACTCATTCTGCTCGTGTTTTGTGAATGAGGTCCGTTACTCTTGTGGCTTCTTGAATTATAGCTGGAAACTCACCTGTACAGGCAACGGTTCGGCAGAAAACAAGTGTATGCGAGCAGTCTAGATGTTGCTGTGTTTGTTACAGTTGTGGTTGGAGATCAACATTCTTCATGAAAATAAAATCTTTTCGGTATTGACAACAGGTGGACTACTGGTGAGGAGGAATCAAAATAAATGCTTTTCAAAAAGGATTCTTTTGCTTTCAGAAATGTTCACACTCAGGTATTTCCTTGACATTTAGCAAAATAGCACTTTTCAGATGTAACCCAATTAACACAAGTCTAAATAATTCAATGGAAGTCGTTTTAATCTGCTTATTATAAGTGTTGTATTATGCCATTAAAGTTAATCATAAATACTCTTGTCACTGTTCTGTAAGCTTACTATGTGTGTGTCTCATTCAGTGTGTCCCTGGTTCAGTAGTCCGGGCTCATTTTGAGGGCCCTCAGTCGCTGAATCGTTCATGTGGTTAAAGTCCCCGTGAACCGGAAGTTGCAAACGATTTTTCTCCAGTGCTGTGACGTATTTCCAAGTCAAACGGAATATTGAACAGAGGGCAGGGTTTTACTCTAGCGCTCCTCCTCTCCATCTCTCGCTCATAGCAAACTAACGCTTTGAGGGGAGTGGTTAAGCGTTTCCCCACCCAAACTGTGAAGCCTACGTCATCAGAAAAAGAAACCGTTCCAGACCGGAAGTAACTTTTCAGATTTTGATTAAAGATTACCAAGGTAAAACATTTTTTAAATATATATTCACTTGCACGGATTAATTGTTCACCACAAGACTAGTAATATGCGCTAACAAAGTAAATAGGTTCAATTTTGATTTCACAGGGACTTTAAAGTGTTTGCTCTCTAAAAGAATCCTACAATTGAGGATCACTATGTTTCCTAAACAGAAATCCTGAAGTACGGAACAAATTGGCACTCGATAGACATCATGACATGTGATGGAAGATTTGAAAACACAAACTGTTATTGAATTATACCTACCTCTGCATGAACACATGGCTAGACAGGTAGTGCATTTAAAGGAGTATTTCACTAAAAAAAACTTTTGCTGATAATTTACTGCCCCCATCTCATCCAAGATGTCCATGTCTTTCTTTCTTCAGTCGAAAAGAAATTAAGGTTTTTGATGAAAACATTCCAGGATTCTCTCCATATAATGGACTTTAATGGGAACCAAACGGTTCAAGGTCCAAAAGACAGTTTCAGTGCAAACTGTTCAAAGGGCTTTAAACGACACCAGACGATGAATAAGGGTCTTATCAAGCGAAACGATCGCTCATTTCAAACATAAATAACAAAGTTTTATAAGCTCAAATGCTCGCCTTGTTTTGTGATGCGCGTTCGTGACTCTCCTGTTCGAACTCATTCATCAAAATGAACGAAACTTTTTTCGAGTCATTTGGTTCATTCAACGAACAAACTGAACAAATTGACTCGGGAAAAGATTCGTTCATTTTGATGAACGAGTTCGAACAGGAGAGTCACGAACGCGTATCACAGAACAGAGCAAGGCGAGGATTTGAGCTTATAAAACTTAAACTTTGTTATTTATGTTTGAAATGACCAATCGTTTCGCTTGATAAGACTCTTATTCATCGTCTGGTGTTTTGTTGCCAAAAGCCCATTGAACAGTTTGCACTGAAACTGTCTTTTGGACCATGAACCGTTTGGACCCCATTGAAGTCCATTATATGGAGAAAAATGCTGGAATGTTTTCATCAAAATTATAATTTCTTTTCGACTGCAGAAAGAAAGACATGCACATCATGGATGACATGGGGGTGAGTAAACTATCTGCAAAAGTTTTTTTTCAAAACTGAACTACTCCTTTAAAACCACTTAACTGTCACCGTCCCACAGGTGGGACGTTTGCCACTATATTTTTCAAACAATAATATCTTAGTAAATACCTTAAATAATATTGACAAACTATATATCATTTGAAAGCTTACAATCTCTAGTTTCCATATTTGGTGACTGATTTTCAAAATATATTACAGAGGAGCCATAATTTATCAATATAAAACAAGAATATTTTCATACTCATAAGGCGTGTTCAGACCTTTATTTTAAAATAGCAGTAAACATGAAAAATCATGAAAAAATGGTAGATACCTCAGTTTGTTTTCATGCCAAAAGTTCAGAAGATAGAATCCATTCAATTATTTTGGAAAAAAAGGTCTGAAAAGTTTGAAATATCAAGAAAAAAATAATAAATTCACCATTTGTGACGTGGCAGCTATAGCTATGACTTACATGCGTGTTCTTTGTATGTGTTTCTTAGAGGTTCAATTCATATCAAAATCTGCCAAACTTCCCATGCTACTTCTGAATAGGATCTCTACTTCAGAAATTGTATGAAAATTGTGAAAATAATGGTTCATATCACTCAAAACACGAATGGAAATGCAGACGCCCTTATATGGGCAGTAATGGAGTCTGGTTGTGCCCTAGTGAAAAAGTTTGGTACTGCGCTCAAACAAAATGTTACTGAAAGCTCATTTTTTGAGATATCAACCTAAAATTTGAAACACAACTTGTTCAGATTTTTGGCTTTGATCTTTCTGCCATTTTAGAGTAGCCCAGGTTTTGAAAATATATATTTTATGTAAAATATGAATAATTAATATTTTTACATTGTACATTTCCATAAACTCAAACTTCTATAACTTTTTTTCTGTTTTACTTTCTTAATTTATTTCACTTCTACAAAAATCTGCCAAATGTCTTCTTTAAAACAAGACCAATCATATGTCTATCTATATTCCAAAGCATTCTTGAATTACAACCATTTAAGTTCGAAATGTGCATTTTCATGTCTATTCAAAAAGGGGGGGGGGGGGGGGTGACAGTTAACAGGTTAAAGGACAACTCCGGTGCAAAATGAACCTTTGGTCTAATTACACATTGTTACCTATTCAACCGTTATCTGAGATTTGTTTTCAATATGATTGCCGAATGTAAATAGTATATTTACTATAACGCTTACGCTAGTATGACGCTAGTGAGATGTGAATAAGGTGATAAGGTGAGCGCGAACAGTAGGCTACGTGTACATATTGAAGAGAAGAAAATGGTTAGTGTTTGTGTTTCTTCTGGAAACAACGGACCATATGAGATTCTGCACAGTTCAGCGCACTTGGATAGGCATTCATAGATCGACTGGTAGAGACTATTTTTCAAAGATGGCTTCTTCCTGTATTCGCGAAGTTGACTGTGTGTGTAAAATATCTTCTTATTAAACTGTACGGACACTGACAAAGTTCTCAATTGAATGTAGGGACCCTAATTATGCGACCGTGTTACAGTGGGGCTATTTTGAGCCTTGTTAGTGGTAATAACAAGCGATTTTTATTTGTCATTACTCAATGCCCCATATACTAGTGTTATACTAGCGTTATAGGCTAAACTGTTTTTAGAGATAAAACTATTTACATTCGGCAATCATGATAACAAATCTCAGATAACGGTTGACTAGGTAACGATGTGTAATTAGACCAAAGGTTCATTTTGCACCGGAGTTCTCCTTTAATCTAGTTAAAGTGTAATTGGAAATTTGGCGCTGCCTGTTGTTGAAAATTTCCAGTGGTTTTTGCAAAGCAAATATGTAGCCATGTCACCGTAAATAGTCATGTGTCCCGCTGTTTACTGAGATTCCAGTTATTCCAATATCTGAAATATTTTGGGTCGAAATATTGAGAA